ACTGCACACAGCAGAGGACGCAGAAGCAGCGGCTGAATGAGGGAGACAGGACAGAGAATGAATCTTCCACACAGAGAACTTGGCTGAGAGCTACAACCAAAACCAAACCCGCTGCCGTCGGGTCAATTCCAACTCATAACGACCCTATAGGACAGAATAGAAACCCCCATGGGGTTTCCAAGGAGCAGCTGGTGGATTCAAACTGCTGACCTTTCAATGAGCTGCCACACTCTTAACTAGTACTATGCCACCGAGGCTCTGAGGGCTGCAACAGCTACTCAAAACTCCGCCTCCAGAGACCAGGTTCTGGATAGTTTTTCAGATATGTCCCCATAAAATAAAATCAAATTTCTGATGTCAATAGTGGATTTTAACTCAACATTTGTTGAAATCATACAAGCCAATCCTAGACCTCTGCAGGACTGACCCGTCTCTCCCCTGATCTCCCCTGACGCTGCTCCACACACACCAGCACCCCGCCCCCCACGGGCCTGGTCTGGTCATACCGTTTATCATTGTCTTCAATAACTGCATCTATGTTTCCTCACCAGCTGCCTCCCACAAGTCTAAGCTCCACGGGAAGAGGGGTGTCAATTCTCCCCAGGCCCAGGACTCAGCCCGCGACACACCTGCCACAGGAGTAGCCCTGAGCCAAAAGGCTTCAAAACGAGATAACCACCTACTGTTTAACTCCTACTTAAAATAAAGAATAACTGTAGGTGCGTTTGTTAAACTGTCAAACGAGACTAGCAGAATACAAAACGCTAGTCAGGGACGCTCAGCGTTTGAGAAGCCAAGAGGGGGCGGTAGCCTGGCGGCGGCCCTGGGATACACGAACGGAGACCGTCCCTCCTCTTCCCTTCCTGCGCTGTCCCGGCCCGGCGCGGAGGGCTCTTCGGCCCCGGCCATCTCCAGGCGGGGCAAGCCCGGCAGAAGCGGGAACTCGCTCCTCCGGGATGTTCCCAGGGGCCGCCACCCCTCCATCAACCAGGCACGCTCCTCGTCCCCTCAACCAAACCGCCGCACCGCCCACGCACCGGTCTCCCAGGAACTTCCGTGCCTGAAAGGCGGGAGCACCAGAGAGAGGCCCCGTTACCCCATCCCCACTGCCGCCTCCCCGGCCACACGGAAGGGCTGCCCCGGGCCCAGGGAGCCTACCGAGAGGGAGCCAGCGGCAGGGCCGCAGCCGATGGACCTGCACCCGCGCGGAGCGAATGGAGGGCGGGAGCAACACTCACTTCCGGACTCGTGGGGGCGGGGACGGCGCTCACTTCCGGACTCGTGGGGGCGGGGACGGCGCTCACTTCCGGGCTTGCGGGGGCGGGAACCGCGCTCACTTCCGGACTCGCGGGGGCGGGGACGGCGCTCACTTCCGGACTCGCAGGGGTGGGGACGGCGCTCATTTTCGACTTTGGGGGCCGGAGACAACGGTGACTTCCGGACTCGACGCGGAGGACTGCACAGAGCGGGGTGCTAGGTTGGGGTGGACGCTGACTTTC